ACATGCCCAGAACCTTGGTTCCGTCAACGACATATCTCCGACGACGTTGAATTAACGCTCTCGTGAACAACTCAACCGCAAAACGGTGTCGTAGCCCGTGAGACGTATGCAAAATTGAATAGGTGCAAGAAATTTGGCTTACAAATAAAAAGGAACAAATCAATTTCGCCTCCAATAAATTTTCACTGGCTTTCAATATATGAAATATTTCATTATAGATATAACTGTACAAATAATGAATCCTTGTCAATAGCAAGGATAAGCAGTAAAGAGTTACAATTAACTCGATGAGTCGAGACATCCCACTCGGTTAAGAGATCAACGGTTCAAAAAGTAGACAATGTATGAACTCATATCTTAATACCGCGATTATGAACTCATATCAACCATGGCACCTAGTTGTCCAGAAAGGCAGACCACTTCCTAGTAGTCATCAACTGGAATGCTTTATTTTATTTTACTAATCAATCAGTAGATAACATATTTCTTAACCATGATTCATTCAAGCAAAAAATGACCATAAACATCGAGATAGCTTGCTTACGCATAAGGTTGCCGAAGTGCCAAACCATACGCACAAGCAAGCTATACAACAAACAAATTGATGGTGTGGGAAGATCAATGTGCTTCGAGAAAATTGCAATCGATTCAGAAGCTTGACCAACTACAACAATTTCAGTTTTCATTACGGTAAACAAATAGAACTAATAGATTAAGAAAAGGCTCATTAAACAATATCAACGTCTTCAAAAAGAATGCAGGCCAAATCCTGTATCCTCCCACTAACCAAAACGGCAACTAAAACAAAACAGGACTCTCTACTGCTTCCCATTTAAGTTCAAAGGTGCAGAAAATACCGAATGAAGAAATAAATCTCACGTCATTGCTTAGTAGAAGAAGCCAAGCACTTTACCGCCAACGTTCTTTCTTCTGGCCTCTTCATGATCCATGATTCCCGCAGATGTTGTCAACACAATGAATCCAAACTGTAAACGTTCGATAATCGTTATTGTAAGAGTTTGGCTTAGGCAAAAAACACAGTAATCAGGAGCATAATACTAGAAATAAAGAAAAAAAAATACCTGTCTTGAGGGTAGCAACCTTGCAGTCCAACCTTCAATCTCCTTGACACCCACATCAAAACGGGGACTAATGACACCACATTTGTTGAGTCTCCCATTCAGTTCAACGACGATTTTGCCTGACCTATGATCATCAACGTACTCAAATTCCCCAATGTATCCTATAACAATGAAATTTTGAATAGAATTAAAATCAAAGAGGTTTAAAGTGCAAAGAATGAGATTGACCGAATTTCTTAATAATGAATACCATGCTTCTGCATAACAAGAAGAAACTTGATGATAACTTTGGAAGATGGCCTTATCATGACCTGGCGCTTCCCCCGTTTCTCAGCATTGTACATGCTTTTAAGAGCATCATTCAGAACACTCACACGCACCATTGTTACTGCAAATACGTAAATCCCCACATTTCAAGTTAAGTATGTCGCAAAATTAGACTTAACAACTAGAAAGATCATTTTATCATCTTACAAACTGGCAGTCACCACTCTTAGACCCAAATAATGCGAATATCGTTCCCAATTCGTAAAACCCTAGTTCAAATGGGAATCATTAAATAACAAAACAAGCCATAAGATTAATTAACAAACCATACAATCAACCCTTCATCGACTGACGGCTTAAAAGAATCACTATATCGTCCTATACAAACTGCCAGCCACCACTCTTGGAACCGAATAATGTGTATATCGTTCCCAATTCCTAAAACCCTAGTTTTAATGGGAACCATTAAATAACAAGAAAATCTATGAGATTAATCAACAAATCATGCAATCAACCCTGTCCGGCGACTTCCAAGTTCTCTCTCGAACAGTATATAAATTCGACGTATATACTTAAACCATCAACTAGAACAAGTAATTGAACATAAAAGATGAAAGACAAAACAAATTTCTAGATTACAACGTCAGTAGCGATAGAAAATGAAGGGCAGAAGAAACCACGTACAGAACAGAAGAAACGGAAGTTGCAGGGGCGACACCAAATGGGGGACGACTAGGGCTTCTTTCCACAGCTGAGAGAGAAGAGAAAGGAATAAAACCCTAGCGTATTTATACTACGTTAAAAATATATCTAAATTCGCTCTGCGGCCCCAATTCCGATCTCACCAATTGGGCCGAGCGGGAAGCTTTTTTTTTTCTTAAAAAAAAAAAAATCAAATTACATGTCTTCGGCCCACATATTTATTACTGATTTTTTGTTAATTTTAATTATTTACTTTCAAGATGTATTTTTTGTTTCATATATATATATATATATATTCCAATAACTTTAACCAAATTTATAATCCCATCCGACTGCTACTATGGACGGATATTATTATTTATAAACTGTCATCATCGTTAAAATTTTAAAACTAGTCTAATTAATAAGAGGTTTTCTCTGATGTCACACATTGGTTGGAGTGGTTGGAAAAGAGGACAAATCACCATTTATAAGGGTGTAGAAACCTTTCTTAAGCAGACATGTTTCGTTCTCCTGTTGATCTGCGCCGTTACATTTTTACCCTCCTTATAAAAAAAATGTTTCGTTCTCCGGTTGAGAATTTCATGATAAAAGTTTTTATTAAAATAAAAATGACAAAAAACAATGAATGAGCTAAATTTATTAATTTTAGACCGTGGTATAAAATATAAAATTTACAAATTTGCTTAGACTTGGACTATGAATTTTCTGCAGAACACTGCAATCAACCAAAAAATGCGATCAAAAGAGAAGAAGATGCTGCCAATTTCCGAGTCTGAGGTGTGTCAATCGCTCTCTGTATTTTCGTTCGATCCCGTCGCTCAATTTGACATTTCTCTGTAGATTTTTCACGGAAGACAGTTGCTGTTCGGTCTCTATCTATGTTTTTTTTTTTTTTCACTCTGAATCAGTATACATTTTCATGTTCAAGAGCCCATTCATTTTAATATTGCAACTATGCGAAAACGGAGCTTGATTTTGGACTACAAACGATACGAAAAGGAATCACCCGGCTTTATGGAAAGATACAAAGATTAGAAGCCAAATCCATTTGACATTTTAAAAATTTTCCATGTTGTCAACTCCATTTTTATAAATATTGTTTGACTAATTTTTCAGCTTCAGAATCCGACACATGGAATCTTGCTCCCTTTGAAGAGAAGACAACCAGAAGCTTGCTGTCTTTTGATGGACAGAAAAATGTTAGTACTCTGTAATGCTTGATAGACAAAACATTTTGTTGATGATTGGCTTACACTTGAAAATGTGAGCTCATATAATCTGCATAGTTAGAATTGGGTAATCTGTATTTAGATTGTAGATTTATGATTATGAACGTCTTCTAAGAGTTAAGTTTATATTCATATAGCCTAAGATTTTGGTTTGGCTTCTAAATTTGGGTTTCATAAGTTTAATCTGTGAACTAAACACCCTTTTATGGATAGGTATTACCAGCTAGATTATCTAGAATTAGAAGATTATAGAGTCGGTGTTAAGGAGAACTAATGGTTGGTTCTACTTGTTAATATGTATTAGAACAATGACGTATACTACAATCCTAAATAGCTGATCTCAAATAGAAAACACCCTTCCATAATAGAATTGATTTCCATATGAAGATATTTTTTTCTTATAATTTGTCTGTATATGTGCAGCTATTATTGTTCTTCCATATGTCATGCTCTAAAGCTGTTTTGGTTAGTGGTGAATGTATAGAAATATTCAACAATATGGTGATGAATGAACTTATAACCTGAGAAGACAATTATGCTGATAGGTTTCATACTCATTGATTATTCAGAGTGATTATACTGTGATCTTCATGAAATGTAGGGACTAAAATCTTGCTTGCCTATCATTTACTGATAATCATGTGATCTTGGATCTCTACTTTCTGTCATACTAGTTTGAATTCTTGTGAATTTAAGGTTGTATATTTGATTGTGATAATTAGAAAATTTAGGCCACTGTTAAAGAATTAGGCTTAGTGGGCATCCCATTAATTAGCTTTTTTTCTTTGGCTCTTATTTATTTCTAGATGTTTTGTAGTTTTCTAACAAAGTTAAAAGGGACTAGAAGATGGCTGTGAGATCCCACATCGGTTGGAGAGGGGACGAAACATTCCTTATAAGGGTGTGGAAACCTCTCCCTAGTAGACACGTTTTTAAACCGTAAGGCTGATAGTGATATGTAACGGGCCAAAGCGGATAATATTTGTTAGCGGTGGGCTTAAACTGTTACAATGGCTGAACTGGAATGATTTAAAATGGATCCATGGTGTAAACACATCTAAATAATCTCCATTTCTTAGTTCAGGTTAGGAATATGATCTTATTATTATTGTTTTAGGTCCTCTATGATTACTTATTTTATTGTTAAAGTTGAAATTAGATAGTATGCACTCTATAATGGTATATAATGCATAAACTTTGTCATAATTATTTGGACTAATGTACAATTTTATATAGTTTTGTACGCTAATTTATACTAACCTATGAAAGGAGATCCAAATTTTATATAGTTTTATATCTATATTTGACTAGCTATACTATCCACCTATCCTGCAATTATCTGTATGAATCAAACCAAGTCAAATTTGGTGAAAGCGAAACCAAACAGATAGCTACAAAATTTGCCAAAATTTAGATGTAAAGCCGACCCTCTTCTCACTCTGCAAGGTTCTTAGTCAGTTGGTCGTTTTATATGCCTTTCATACATTGAATATGCTTGTGATATTAGAACTCTCTATGAAAGGGAAATTTTCATCCTCGCACTCAACAGATCTTGTTCTTATTTTCTATAACAATCACAGTTATAATAGACAATAAAATCTCATTGTTTGCAGCTTATTGATTCTGTTTTAAAAATATATATTACCAACAGTTACAGATTCATCACTCCATTATGTACAGTAAAATATTGTTTACTCTGACCATGAGTTGATTTTAGTATGCTTGTATTATTAAATCATCAATTTGAATCTCTTTTCATATAAAAAAAAATGGTTATCAAACCAAGTTAATTTAACGTGCATTTTCTTTTCTGAGTAAATAACTTGCTATCCAGCAAAAGGGCGAGTTACCAAAGTGCCCCAAACTCTCACTCTCTTAATATATATGCATTTTGTGCTTGTGGGCTCCTTCAGGTTATATTGTTGCCTTTGTTGATTCATGCCTATAGAACCACCTGTCGAGTTGGTAACGCAAGAAAGCGAGCTCGTGCTTGGTGCTGCTGAGAGGTGAGAATCAGGGAATGAAATTTCTTTGTTCACTACAATTCATTTTTATTTCAGTTTTCGAGAAAATTTTGGAGATTATGGATTCTGAAAGAAAAATAATTTAAACTAATAGAACTATTATGGTTGAAGAGTGAATTCAGTCTATTGATCCTCTTCTTCTCCCCTTCCTCCTATTAGGATTACTATTTGGAATACATAGGGAAATACAGCTTTTGATATTTGATTTGTAGATCTGGCCATTGACTCTGAAATTCAGAGAGGTTCTCTGTAAGCTTGTTGTTCCATTCCAAGAACAAGGAGGTTGAAAGATATTGGTGGGGAAGCGTTCTTGATCAGTTTCTTACATTGAGAAATTCTATTCTTTCATCGATAGTGTACGATATGTTTATTGTATATATATACTTAACATGATGGCTTAAATGACAAGATGTTTTCTTAATAAATTTGTTGCATGGTAACTTCTCACTTATAAATTTCTTTGTAGCAGGACACAGTGAGATTTTACTGGTTAACATGGATGTTCCATCGCAGGTGGTTAATTATTAGTATGTATCAGTTCTCTCTCTCTCTGTCTCTCTCTCTTTTTCATTCGTTTCTTGTATGACCATAGTTTGATGAGGTAACAAGGGCATGGACTTATGTTAGGATAATTACTCGTTTATTTTTCCTTTTTGAGGGAGAACTTCATAGGAAAGAACGAGGGAAACTTGGGGCATATATAAGCAATGATCTAAAATCCGTTCGTTTGGGTTTGAACTACTTTTATTGGAATGTTATCTAATCAACTTCATCACTTTCTAGGTGTTTACCACTTAGCACTGATCGGTCATGGCACATATAATGTAACAGTCTAAGCCCACCACTAACAAATATTTTTCATTTTGATCCGTTACGTATCGTTGTCAGCCTTATGGTTTTAAAACGCGTTTGCTAGGGAGAGGTTTCCACATTCTTATCAGAAATGTTTTGTTCCCCTCTCCAATCGATATGGGATCTCACAATCTACCCCCTTGGGGGGCTAGCATCCTCGCTGGCACACTGCCTAGTGTCTGCCTCTGATACCATTTGTAACAACCCAAACCCACCGTTAGCAAATATTGTCCACTTTGGCCCGTTGCATATCGCCATCAGCCTCACGGTTATAAAAATGTGTTTGTTAGGGAGAGGTTTCCACTCTTATTAGAAATGTTTTGTTCCCCTCTCCAACTGACGTGGATCTCACGTATAAAAACCAAACTCCCTAAATACTAGGCCAACTTTCTTTTAATGCTCCTTAACTATTACTTCTTCTTCCATTTTCCGTTTTCTTCTTTGATGGAGTGACTGGTGAGATGAGTCTTAAAGGATGAACCATGAAGGCTTACAAAAATATCGACCTTCTTATTTGAACATAACTAAGTATTATATTATGACAGCTATACCCTCTTGCTTGTTTTCTATCAAACTCTACCAATAAGCTAGAATGGACACCTTGGCAAATGTCGAGAAGTAGGGGCTTCGGATCTTTAGAGATAACATTGAAAGTCCTGGGATTAATTCTAAGTTGACGAACTTAATTAGAGATAAAGAGAGAAAAATTATATATCTATAGATCTATGCATTCACACATACATATGTCTTAATCTTCCTCAAAAAGTTTGTTGATTAACTACAGTGGCTTCTGTCTGGAGTCCAAATTATTCAACAATGATGGCCAGCTAAAAGGTGAAGGCTTCACTATTCCTTGTCAGCACCCTATTACCTACCAGCCAGGTAGTCAGTTTCTTCTTGATTTTCTTATATGGGTTAATGTTCTTCCTGATTTTTCCTGATTTCATGTTTGCTTTCCCTCATATTTCTACCAACTACTTCAAGAATGATTGCACTAAACGACATAACATAATATCATTTGATTTTCATCATTACGTTGCCCTATGTAACTCTGTAATTTTGGTTAACAAAATTCTGAACTTCAAAGGCCACTTTTGAGTGGGGTAATAATTGTGTTCTGTTTGCGGAAGGTTGCAATGCAAGTAACTCCATGACTGAAAATGTTTCACCACAGTCGGTATTGTTTCCCAAGAAGATTTCTTTTCCGCAGAATGAATCGGTAAAACCTCATTCCCTCTAATGATTTCCCTGCTTTCTTTTAAAACTTCAACTTTCCATGGATTTACTGCTTCTACTGAAAAACTTTGTGTACTCCTTCAACCTTCTGGCCTAATAGCATGCAAAGAAACGCGAGTTCTTCGCCCAGAAAGGCGTACAAGCAGCCCCATATGATCTGGCAGGGGATAACAAGAGAATGAAGGTCAGTGCCTTTGATTAATATAAACAAGAACAAGAACAGCCTAAGGATGGGGTAGAGTGAACCCCTCCCAAAGTTGTACACTTTCATTTCTCTTTTATTGCTTGTAGTTGCAGGAACCAGTAAGGAGAAGCCAAAGGCTTAGTGATAAAATTACTGCCCTTCAAAAGCTGGTTTCCCCTTACGGCAAGGTTGGTATTTTATTTTCTTCTTAAAGTAGACTATAAAATAACATATGAATATGAAGTAATTCCTTTTCTTAAACAGAATTTCATTTTGTTAACTTATTGTAGACTGATACCGCATCTGTTCTTCAAGAAGCCTGTCTTTATATCAAATTCGTTCAAGAACACATTCAGGTACAATTCACTGAGACACGAGCTTTCCCGTTACTTCCATAGTTTAAGTTCTTGTCTTTTTAAAATCATTTGTGTGAGATCTCACCTCGTTTGGGGAGGAGAACGAAACATTCTTTATAAGGGTGTGGAAACTCTCCCTAGCAGACGCATTTTAAAAACTTTGAGAAGAATCTCGAAAGGGAAAGTCCAAATAGAACAATATCTACTAGCGATAGGCTTAGGCTATTACAATTTCAATCCAAGTAAGCTGAGTAGACAAGGCACGGGAAGAATATAAACTTTAAAGTTTATTGCTTAAGTATTTTTGTTGGTTAAAAAAGGTGGCTTGAAGCTTGAAATTCATAGCTTTTTTTTTCCTGGCTTGGGAGCAGAATCTACTTCAGATGCAGAGTAGCGCATACAAAAACCTAAATCCTCAGGTAAAACTGTAAAAAATCTTCAGCTTCTTATGGTGAAATTTCAAGAGGAAGAAATAATTGTAAAAATTACTGCTCCATTTAAGGTGGGTCTGTCTGAAACTTTATCTTTTCTTCAGGGAACTCAACAGAGGCAAGGAAATCTAAGAAGTGAAGGACTATGTGTGGTTCCTGTGACTTTTACCCAGAAAATAGCCCTCGATAAGGACATAAATTTGGTGTCGTGAATTCAGTATGATGTATCAAAACGACGTGTCGGTTCACCAACCTTATTCTGTGGGCTAATTTCACGATGAATTAATTGCTACCGATCCTGCCATAATTATTATTATTATTATTATTATTGTAGTTTGAAATATAAATTAATTGAGTTATATTTATATAGTGAAAATAAAAAATAATAACCAATATGGAATAAAACAGTCGGTCAGTCGGAAAATCTTAAAAAATAATATTGAAATATAAATTGGAGTCCGTATAAAATTTTTAAAAAATTCCAAAAAATTAGGTTAATTGCCATAAAAGATGCATAAATTACAAAGTATATACCAAAAATGAATTTATTTTTTATAAATCAAATCAGCCGAAACGATGCCCACCGCAAAAATTAGGTGGAACCAAATAATTGGTAGAATGTTCGGATTTTTAACCGTCTCGGTGACATTAGCAATCGCCCCCACCCCTGGGTGATCCGCTACCACAATTTTATTACTTTATTATTAATTAATTATTATTATTATTTGTAATTTATATTTATAATATTGGATTTTAATAATTAGCGTCGAATCTCTTTGCACAGCACAGCCCTCGTTTCCCATCCCATCGTCCTCCTCCCTTCACCCTCTCTTCTATCTTCTTTATCAACTCGCTTCTGGTTGCCCTAATTTTTCTCAGCCTTTCTCGCCATTTCTTTCGTCTTCTCGCCCCCATTATTTTCTCGGCAAAATGGTTAGTGTTCTTGCCTCTTCTATGCTTCGTTCCACTCATTTATATGTTTTTTTGTTGATTTTTCTTTCCATTTATTTGTTAATTTGTTTCTTTATTCTTCCTCTATTTGTTCATCTTTGTTGCTTTTCTCTCCGATCCGTGGAGTTCTTGGTTGATTAGAAACGGAATCCTTGTAAATCGCTGCACCGATTGGTGGTTAATTTGTTTTTCCTTCTCGATGATCATTTTTGGTCTGCTTGTTTATTGTTTGAATGGCCGTAGACTGTTGATTATGCTGACATATTAGTGCTTGATCTCTGTTCCCTTTTTTTTTTTTTTTTTTTTAATATCGATTGCCATGCACTTGTAAGCGTGTGGGTAAAAGCATTGGCCACCGTTGATGTAACGCGATTTATTATATTCTCGTACATTTGTTGCAATTTTCATTAGGACCTTGTAACTGTACTCTGTTCTCGAATTATAGTTATTTCAAGATTATGTAATAGAAAATTTGGACTGGTTCTTGTAAAAGGAGGATGCATCGGTCCAATTATTTTATTGATCTTTTAATTAATTTTGTAATTATTTTTTTCATTTTACTCATAAAAGGGGATAATCTCAGTGGTTTAAACACATGCATTTGTGTTGATGGATAATTAGTATCGTGATATTTTTCATTGCATGATCCTAAAGAGATGATGAATCCATAAAAAATAAAAAAATAAAAAAATAAAAAATAAAAAAATAAAAAAAATTATAATTTGGTAAGCTAGGAGTGCTTAACGATATGGTTTGAAGGGAAGAACTGAAGGATGTTGGATCGGAAAGGTAAACATCAAATTAACTATTTAAGTAGAGGTTTATTAGCGGAGTAGTCCATCTCATATTTGTACATTTTATCCTACGGTGCTTGTCACCATCACCATTAAATTCCTTCATGAATTTAAGATATTCCACTTGAGGAGAGTCTATGAGTCGCCCTCTCCTCCCTCATCTTGTTCATTCTTTGTTCTCTTCCATTATTTCTTAGTTTGTTTCTCCCTTATCACCATCACCATTAATGTGTGAATGTTGGGAAATGGGGATAGGAGGCTTGTTTGGCATAGACTAAAAAGTTGAGCATCAGAACTCGAAGGTGCATTTCGATTAGAAATTAAAAGGCAGCAGCTTTAGAATTTCAGGTAGGAGCTGGTTAAAGTATGCCTTCTTCACATTAAAGGACGGTCAAGTTTTACCGAAGGTTGTGTTCATACTGTAATGTCTTTTTTAGGGCTTCCTTTAAAGAAGCTAGGATCTAAGCACTTTGTTAACTCTTTTTTGAAAGGCCTTGGAGTAGGGAATATTGAATCGAAGAATGTGTTGCTATTATGTTTTATCTCTAAGTAGCTTTGGATATTTTCAAGAGTAAATGACCTGTTATGTTAAGAATTTATTTGGCTCTTTACTCTCTCGTGCTAGCAATATTTCTAGCAGTCCTTGGTTATAACACTGTCTAATGGAAATCTCTCTCTCTCTCTCTCTCTCTCTATACTTATAATTAACTCCGCTGCCTTTTTGGCTATGTCATTTGTCGACAATAATTTATAAGTACCTTCACTTCTCACTCTAGAGCTAGTTGGAGATAGACTTTTTCTTTCCATACTTCCTCCCCCAGGAAAAAGAATTAAGAAAAGAAGGAATCGGTAGTTGTTTAAATCGTTTGGTGGAGTAATTGTATTATTTTGTTGTATTTTAAAGATATGAAGCTTCACAGCCCCCAACACTATTTTCACACTCCAACCAGGTATCTGTTTATCAAATTTGAGCTGCATGGACGTATTTTCTAGCAAAGATGTGAACTCATTAGAGAAATGGGAAATTGGCCACTTTTCCTTCATCGTCTTTATCTAGCCTGCACTGGACTATTACTATGGTTGGGGTTCATGGGTACCATGGAGATTTAGTTTCTCTCAGTTCATAATTTATATTTGTGAATCAATCTTTCACAGGCAAATGCAGCATCCGGGATGGCTGTGCATGATGATTGCAAGCTTAGGTTTCTGGATTTGAAGGCCAAAAGAACCTTCCGTTTTATAGTATTCAAGATCGAAGAAAAACTGAAGCAGGTTGTGGTGGAAAAGCTTGGCGAGCCATCTCAAAGTTATGAGGACTTCGCTGCCAGCCTCCCTGCCGATGAATGCCGATATGCAGTCTATGATTTCGATTTTGTGACTGAAGAGAATTGCCAAAAGAGCAGGATTATATTCATTGCATGGTAAATGCACTACACAGCCTTCGCTCTCATTTTTGAAACGGGTTCTTTCATTTTATGAACATGCATTCTGACTCATGATTTATCACTTGTATTAAGGTCTCCTGATACATCAAAGGTGAGAAGCAAGATGATTTACGCAAGTTCCAAGGATAGGTTCAAGAGGGAGTTGGATGGCATCCAAGTGGAGTTGCAAGCAACTGATCCTACCGAGATGGGGCTTGACGTTATTAGAAGTCGGTCGGGGTCGGGTTAAGTCATTGTGATGCCAGAGCTGGTGGTGTTCATAGATTGTGGGCTCCAAACTTGCCTTTTATGATGCTATATGATAATATTGGCTTGTTCTTAAGAGGTTTTACCTAAGAATTTAAAGGATGACTGTTCTTTGGGTTTGGTGGATTTTAGTTGGATGGATATTTATGATATGCACAGGGTAAATATGGATCAATGCCAGTTTGGTTTTATCAGGAGAACCACTCGGAATAATTTTCAATGATTTTCGAGTTTCTACTCAAATCTCCTTGTGGTTTCATCTTCGTTTCATGACCCAATTAAATTGTGACCAAGGTTTGCTGTAAAGCTCCCGCTTGTGCTTTTTGGGAGACCGTAATTCACCTTATGGGATATTTTTAAACGCATTACTGCTAGCAATTATTTTGACTAAGATGAACTTTTCTCGGTGCAATCTCACAGACTAATTTATACTGTTTTTTCCTTCTGACTATTAGATTTATTTATTAATGCGATGATATATTTTTTTTAACTAGTTGAGTTGGGTATAGTTTGACATACACGTTACGTTTTTTAATTAACTAGTTGAGTTGAGTTGGGTATAGTTTGACATACATGTTAGGTTTTTTAATTAACTAGTTGAGTTGGGTATAGTAAGTAAATAAATCTTTGAACTATAATAGATTTAATAGATTTGTGATAAATTTGAGATCCAAAATTGTTTATTATCGGAAGTTTAGAAAGTAAAGTTGCAAATTCGGAACTATAATTGAAATTTTGCTAAATAAATAATTTGAGAAGGCAATTGTAAAAACTTTATGCGAATTCAATCGTTTCAACTGCAAGTTACTTAGTTTCAAACTTCTTAATTAGAGTTTTTATATAAAATATCGTAAATAACATCAACCAAGGGTCTATAGCTCAGTGGTAGAGCATTTGACTGCAGATCAAGAGGTCACCGGTTCGAACCCGGTTGGGCCCTTATTTCATCCTCTTCTTTATTTACCAATGTTTAGTGGGTCTTTTTTTCATTTTTCATTTTTCATTTTTCTTAAAGCAGCTGTATTCCAACCTATGAGTCACCGTTTAATTTTATTTTTATTAATTCTGCATAAATAAATAAAATTCTAATGACCTTTTCTTTTAAAATTATTAAAAAATTATAGCCAAAATTATCAATTGAATTTTTTAGAAAAGTTCGGTTGGCTAAATAATAATCAAATTTGTAAAATATAACAACCCATCTTACAGTTTAATTCTTAATCTGATGCTTTATATTGAATCATCTTTTCAAACGGAAAATTTAATGATTTTATTTAAATAAATTAAAAAAGAAAAAAATCATCATCAATCAAGGGTCTATAGCTCAGTGGTAGAGCATTTGACTGCAGATCAAGAGGTCGCCGGTTCGAACCCGATTAGGCCCTTTTTTCATCCCCTTTTTTATTTACCAATGTTTAGTGGGTCTTTTTTTTTCATTTTTTCTTAAAGCAGCTGTATTTCAAAGTATGAGTCACCGTTTAATTTTATTTTTATTATGATTTAAAAATTATCAATTGTGCAGGACAACTTCCCACAGGTAGACCTGCCACTTTTAACAATTATTCAAATAAATAAATTATAAAAAAATTATTTAAAAATTAGTCAAAATTATCAATTGAATTTTTTAGAAAAGTTCGGTCGGCTAAATAATAATCAAATTGAAAAACATAATAATCCATCTTCCAGTTTAATTTTTAATCCAATGCTTTGTAATGAATCATTTTGTCAAACGAAAAAAGGTTAGAAAAACAAAATAAAAATCATTCTTTTAAAATCATCAAATCTGTCTTTCACATTCATAATCTTGTTATTAAACAAACTGAAGAAGGAAAAAGAATAAATCATCATCAAACACTCTGATTCGGATTCTAACCACATTCTCTGGCTTAAGACTCACTGCTAGTGATGTCATAGTAGAAAGCAAAAAAAAAAAAAAAACTATAATTTTTTTCATAAATCTTCAAAAGATAAATCCAGTAATCACTTAAATAAGATCCTCATCTAAAATTTTCAACTCTCAGCATGAAGATCACTACTGATACAGAGATTCTAAAAGCAAAAGATTTCTGCAAAACTTGGATAGAATTCTATCAGAACTCATTCTTCTGCTCACCCAGACCTACCTACTCCAGTGCTTCAATTTGAAAGCAGGTTTCTTCCCTTAGTTTGAACTGAATACTGAATAAAAAAGAAAATTAGAACACAATTGAAAATGTTACAAGAAATAGTATCGAGCTTCGAGTTACCGAGGCTAACCAGTCATGAAGAGAGGAACACTTTAGAACGCCACGAGAAATCTTCCAATTTTTGGACTTCGCTTTTCAATGCTTGTACATAATTCTCCAATGTGTCTGCCTGTTCATTTATTGTATCACTAGAAACAGTATCATTTGCAAGGTTTACAGCAGCCATTTGTGAAAGTTGAAAGTTCTCTGCAGTTCGTTGGAGCTTCTTTGCAGTTTCTTCCTTTCCCAGCATCATAAGGGAAACCAATAAAGATTTAAGCTCAGACCTAGCCCCAGCAGTTAGAGACATGCCCTTTAAATGCTCAACAAGAGCCATCTCCTCTCCAGGACTACACGTGTAAAATAATATAATGTTATTTCATGAGCAACAAGATGCCATAGTTATAAGAAAAATCATCAGTTTAGATACCTTCCCGGACGAATTTTCCCCCTACTTTTCTGACGTTTTGCCTCTCTTGATTTCCTACCTGCAGTTGTGCTCATGGAAACAGTTGAACTCCTTCTACTCCTGTTCATAAAAATTTTTATAAGAGCTTCTGTTCGTAATTTGAGGATGGCTTTGCCAAATATAAGTAACAGCATCTTTCCAGGTTCACTCATAAAAGATATGTTAGCAGACTGATATTCCATCTTCGTCATGTTCAATCAAATAATAAGAGTTCGAAGAAATAAGGCTTGGCATGAAAAATGGAACTTCGAAGAAAGAGGAAAGATTATATTTTGAAAAAGAAAACAATGTGAAAAAAGAACGAGCAAAAAATTCCGACAGCTTTGTCCTGGATTAGCCAGTTATCCGAAACATAAAGTTTTAATGTTGCCACATCAAACTATACATACCATACATACAATATCAGCAGAATCAGTAAGGATCTATTGAAGAGTTCAGAAATTTTCCAAGTACAGGTAGATTAGGACCTCTAGGGGAGTAATTATACTAGAGAAGCACAAAAGAATGCTTCGTTCAAGGTTTTAAAATACGTCTACTAGGAAGAGGTTTCCACACCCTTATAAGGAATGCTTCGTTCCGCTCTCCAACCGATGTGGGAACTCACATTACACCCCCCTTGGGGGCCAGTGTCCTTGATGGCACATCGCCCGGTATCTGACACTGATACCATTTGTAACATACAACCTTTAGAGTCAAGAAACAACATTCAGGGGAGACTTTAGCAAACACTAAAGGTTAAACTTCCAAAGGTTATATAGCCAAACACAAGTACCTTATTTATATAGCAAACACGGATAGACTTCGTAAATATCAAAGAACAGCAAAGCAGTATGATAAAGAAGCGTAGAATACATACCCAGCTGAGTAAGCACTCATTCCACTCAAATTACTGCTAGCTTCTGACGCAGTATCATCATCAAAATTATTCATTGAACTTTCCTCTGCCTTGATTTTAGCAGCAAGAAGTAGTCTTCTCTGCCGAACAGCTAAGTATCGAGTTAAATATTTCCCGACTTTCTCCAATCCTTCCTCATATTCACCAATAAGCAAGCTTGCACATTCGACAGATGCATTCTTCATTTCTGAAACTAAATCTTCTCTCTGATGCATAAAAGCAATTCTCAAAGCCTCTTCCCAGTCCCTAGCACTAATTAACAACCCCATCCCACGGTTAATATCCCTACAGTACTCCAGGGCAATTGTAGCAGCTTCACCTGGTTTACCAAGAGCTTGAAGCTCTTCACAAAGTTCATGAGCCAATTGTAATATCTCGTCTTCTCTCATTTTAAGCAATCCAGCGACTATAAACACCTGCCTCCAGTTACCACTAGCACGATATGATTGCAAAGCCTTTTCCAAATTGAAACAGCAGAGATAAGTTTCTGCAGCATCCTCAAAACTTTTTTCATCACTGAGATAATCACCCCAGGCCTCAAGGACTAATTTCTTCTTGGCATCATCTGTGATCAACTTAAGTCCCAAAGGGAATAGCTGAGGTTGTTTCTTCATTAGGTTCATACAATCAGAAAAATGATCCTCCCCAGCTGAAACTATATGATTTAAAGCTTTCTCAGATCTTGACAATCTTAGGTCAATATTATAGCACATTAGGAGGAATGGCATCTTCTCCAATTCCTGAAGATAAGGGATAAATTCTTTTGGATCCCGCTGTGAGTTTATTGCCACAATAGCAGCAAGTTTTAAATCATAAAGGCCTAACGCAGTATCAAAAACAGCATCGGCATCAGACAACCATAAGAGATGTTTAAGAGCTTCTTCAGAAGAAGGATAAGATGTTCTCCTCGGGTCATCAGAATTTAACAGTTCAATTTCACGTATGACTTTTATCCTCTCCAAAGCTTCTTCAAGTGCTGGCGGATCACTACGTGCAAGGGTGGTCAAAATGCATAGTTCTCTTGCTGGACTTTCCATCATATGCTCCTCAACAGCCCTCCTTATGGCCAATAGGACTGAAGAAACCTTGTTTTCTACATAAGAATCTTTGGATACTCTCAGTGCTCCAACTTTATTGTCATCCATGCATGAATTGGATGTGAAGTTTTTATACAAGGTCTCCGTTACATTTTCGTTCTTTATGGCACAAACAAATTCAGTGATGTGGCTAAAATTATTAACTTGCTTCACAAAATCTGCCGCAGACTGGATAAATGTCTGTAAACCGCAGTAATCAACAATGACATTAAAATCTATCCTATGGCGCCTAACCATAAGAAGTGCATCTCTAAAGCGTCTTTGAATCAATGCATTAGTGATAGATGCGAGTACCAACTTTCTTGGATATATGCACTCTAGATTTCCTCGAGCTGTTTGTAATATTACAGCAGCAGCATCACCATGTAGAACACCAACAATTTTGGCGCTTCTTTCCCATATATAAATAAAGTTTCTACCTTCTTCTTTGCATTTGTTACTAGCTTGGAAAAAGTTGTATTCCTCGTCTATTTTCTTATGCAAAACATCCAGAATGTCGAGAATACAGAGCATATCCTGTTTAGTTCCTAAAATCAAATGCGTAGTTATTTGGTCACCCAAATTTGAGTAAAAAGAGAAACCACTACAATTGTTGCAGACTACCATCCTATTCAAATGAACCCTCCCAACATCATCAAGTCCAAAAAGAAGGGGCTTTAATAACCCATTATTATCCACCAAAGCCACGCTCATCCAGGGACAAGATGATGAAAAACTCTTATCCTCCTGCTTCAAAAATTCACGAGAAAAGCCTGACCCTGATGCATACTTAAGAATTTCCCCACCATTAAGCTGGAGAAATGCAGTACAGTTCTCAGCAGGATTTGAAGCTACACAGATGACTGGTCCTTCAATAAATTTTCGATTAGAAATCCTTGCATGCCAAGCAGAACATGTAGGTAAACCTGGAACATGATCCTTAGAACATTCAAGATCAATTTCCAATAAACAAAATCCAAGAGGCTCCTCGTTTGGGGAGCCTTGAGAGACATAATTATAGTCGTCAGACCCATAATGAGAAACAACAAGAAGTTTATGCACGTCCAACCACACAAATTGCTGAAAGGAGCCAAATGTTGATTCAAAAGATGAAGCTTCAACATAAAATTCCTTTCCTTCTAGTTCTTCCCAGAAATCAGCTCCAGGAAACTCAACAGTGCATAAACGCCCGTCTGATAAGAAGGCAGCCAAACAACTCTTGGAATTCTTAGAATAAAAGGCCACATCACGGACAGCACTTGAAAATTTCAAGCTGAATAAATACAGAGGAGGTGGCATGAGTGATAAAGAAAGAGGGGTCACTAGTATCTTTGCATCATCAATGACCAATGCTGTTGAGTTCTCCATGATAGCTGAAATCCATATAAAGTTGTACATTGTAATTTGTCCATGAACAGTCCAACAAAATAACTGAAGGGGCCTTGTTGGATCCCATACAAAACTAACCATATCCTGCTTTGAGTACCGAATTTCATGCTTCAAGTACCAATGATTATTGCTGAAAAACCAGACTTTTACAGAATCATAATTTTCACATCTAACAATAGCAGCAAGAAGATCTGAACTGCAATTCCACTTCAAAAGTTCAACTTTTGCACTATTTTTCTCGTTAATATGAAAAGAACTTCTTTCTAATCCATTCCTTTCAAAAAATACTACAGTAGGACATTCAATTTCACTTTTCTTATCATAAACAGCTGCAATTTTGGCTCCACTGGGCATCCAATCCAAAACTCCTTCCACAAAGTTTTTAAATTCAGATGAAGCATGCAAGGAACCTCCATCCCGCTCCCAGATCTTGAGCTTCTTGAGTGAAGTATTAGAATTTTCGACATCACTTAGTGTCGCAAAGTATTTTCCATCACCTCGCCAAGAAATGGAACTTTCAAAATCATTTTGTTCTGAAAAATTTGGTTCACCTGAAAACACAATCCAACCATATATTAACTAATATTCAGAAATTGAAACCATTTCTAATGTTACCATGGATGGTCCTTAAAATGACCAGAGAACAACAAGGAGCACCTTGCAGCCAACGTCATCAAGTAGTTAAATGTGTGCTCAAAAGTCATCGGTTAAACAAAGTTCATCAACTCTATGGAAATAGCAAGTGGCATAATGAAAAGAAAAAAGCTCTACGAAAAGGTCATTATTTTGTTATCAGTGAGCCAGGTGCATATAAATTTGGTATACACCGCAATACACATGTTGAGATAGGTAAGATATAACAAAAAATACCCCCTTCATTAAAGTATGGAAGAACTCCTTACGTACGTCAACACACCTTCAGGAAAATCCTCGAGAGTGTTCTCATACATCAAATCCCAATCATGAGTCATTACTAAAATCTGCCGAAGCCCAGAAATTATGCATAACAAATCACCATCTGGACTAGGTGAGATGCGTTTCACACCACCCTCCACCCTGCCAACAACTTCACTCCCACTGCCATCCACGGAAAACAGCAAAAGAAGTCCACTGCGAGTTCCCACTATCAGGGCTTCTTTCTCCATCAAATAATCAAAGGACGTAACACAGTCCCCAGTTTCCACGTCTATATGATGAACTTCCGCAGGCAACATGGCTACGCTCTTCATTCTTTCATTCTGATACATCGAACAGAAAAACGCGAATAACAAGCATATTTAGCACAGTAAAACATCGAAACCTCATAGAATTGATTCGATAAAAAAAATAAAAAAAATAAAAAAACAGAAAGAAGACGAATTTGAAAAGCGAGAAGGTTAGAACTCACATGGAACGAAGTAAGCTGAGTAGTGTATACGAAATTGGCGGAGGAAAGAAAGAAGAGACGATTCCGCTCAATGTCGAAGGCGGAGAACTGTACAACTTCTTCATCGGTCTGCAATTCGAGATTGAGAGAGCTCTCGGTGTAAAGCTTCAAGTTATTCATCTCGGAACACAGAAATCTCGAATCTTCAGAGAGAGCTGGGGTTTTTTTAGGGTTTTAGGGAATTGAAGCCTTCGAAGAAGAGGAACTTTTCACGGCGGCGGTTGCTGCCAGGTTATTTATATAACCTAGTTCCTCCGATCGGTCAGTGGGAATTTTAGCCCATATTATTAGAAACAACACCGCCCTTATGTTCATCGCTACAGTTAGTGGCAGAGCATGTTAATAAGTTGGCTAATGAAGGGTATTTTTGTCACGTTCGTCAAGTGAAGTGACTCGGCATGACGGGTATAGCCGGTTAATTTTTCCCACTCGCTTAATTTCACATCCAATTATTTGAATAATATCCTCTTAATTAATTATATGGTGAAATGTATTTAAATTAATTAATTTGACATTTAATTACATGTGTATGTATCCTAAAAACCACATGCCAATATGTTAGTTTATCAACTTTTAACATTAATTCTAATATTTTTAATTTTTAATTTTATTTTTTAAGGTAGGAAAAAAAAAAAAAAAGACCAAGGACGATTTCGGTGATATATATATATTTTTTTCAAATAAATATTGTCCTGATTTTTATTTAGTACATTTAGGGTTTACATATATTTAATGCATTTAATTTTACCAACATAGACGATAAAACCCACCCATCCCCTGTCAGTCTGCCACCGAATTGGCGTCAGAGCTTTGCAACGGAGCAACGGGCTCCAATGACATTCAGAACCTCAGAGAGAAGCTCCATCCGATTCCCGGCGTAAATGTGGCCGTCCCATTTCCTCGCCACCAATTCCTCCGCCAATTTCACGGCAGCTGTGACGGTCTCCGCCGCACCATCGTGCGCCGATTCAATAATTCCCATTTCCAGAGCCCTATCCGCCGTCAGTTTCGGCGCTTTCAAAACGACGTCGCGTCGAACAGACGCTGTTCCTATTTTGCTCTTGACCAGAACCGTAAACCACGACGGAATCACTCGACGAATGTCGAGTTCGCTCATGTACAGAAATCCACGATCTCTCCTCATCAGGATGTAATCGTGACTCATCGCGAAAAGGAAGCCGGCGGCCGACGCATGACCGGTAACGGCGGCGATCGTCGGCATCGGAAGCGTGATTAGGTCGGATACGACAGATTTTAACTTATCGTCCATCAGAATCATTTTATCCATTGAGCTCTTCGCCCAATCGATATCGTAGCCATTAGAGAAGAACTTACCTTCTGCGGTGGTGATTAGGGCGAAACTAGCGGAATTTCCAGCGACAACAGCGGATTCAGCCTCAGAGCGAACTTGACGAACAGAGGATTGAATAGCATCTAGAAGATTGAGATTGAGTCTGTGCTCACCGGGACCAGTTAGGGTTAGAAGAAAGATATTCCCTCTTCTCTGCAACGAACACATTTTTTCTGAGCGTCGCCGAGCGGTAGAGGATCGAGATGAACCCTAACGGAATTTCGCCGGTAGAAAATGACACTCTGCGGACGGCAGGTTTTTCAAAGAGAGCGATTGGGACGTCGGCGGCTATTGCAGCCTTTTGTAGATCATTGATGGAAATGTGAACATAAATAAACTATCGGCGGTAGGTGAAATTTAATCTTTTTGGTCGGCATTAATTTTAAATACTCATTTTCCAGGAAAACAAATGTTTTTTATTTGACGAAATCATAAATGAGAGTATAATCCACGTATACCGTTCAATAAAAAAAATAATTTATTTGATTGAAATAAATATAATTAGTCAGAGTTTAATTTTTATTGACTACGTGTATTGTATTTTTAAATAATTGTATTTTATTAATAAAGATAATTTAAGTATTTTAATAAAAGAATTTAGATATTTTATTAATAAATAATTAGATATTTTAAATGTCTGGCCTATTATTTCGAAAGAGTATCTTATCTCCGACAAAGAGTTGTGTTCAGTATTTCATCCATTGAGTTTTAAATATTCAAAATTAAATCATTCATTTCAAATTTCAAAATTTAAACTATTTAATGGTTGGTTGGTTTGACCCAACTTTATTAAAAAAAATAATAATTTTTAATTACTTTGGTCTATAACTTAAAATTAAAAGATTAAAGCTTAATCATAGTCATTATTTCTTATTATTTAACAAATACGTGTCATAGTGTATATCATATGTGAAAATAAGTGTGCATAAGAGCTACAAAATTTAATAGGTGTAAATTATTTACAATTATTTAAGGCATATTTGAAACTTATTTTTTCTCACTTATTATATAAATTGTGCTCGCAAATATTTTATTTATTTTTTAGTCTAATCTATAACATTGAAATATCTAGCAATGGACGGAATTGGATGTCTTAACCAATTTAATTATATTCAAGTTAATTATGTTTAATTATGTTTAGTGGTACTTTTGATTTTTTTCTAAAAAAATATTATTTTTTATAGTTACGTATTAAATTTGACATCTTAAAAGTTTATGAAACATAAGAATATGATTAAAGAAATATAATATTTAATTGCTGTTGAATTTAATTTCAATTTTAAAATTATTCCAACAATTATGTTAATTCGTTACCAAACAAATATAATATTTAATTTGCTGTTAAATTAAGTAGGTAAATTAAGAATTTAATTTAAAATTTAAAATTATTCCAACAAATATGTTAATTCGTTACAAAAAAAATTATGTCAGTTCTAAAAAAAATATTACAATCATTTTTTATTTCTACTAGAAATTTGCCTTCTAATTCAATGCGGTCGGATAAACGCCATGATTTAAAAGCGTCTTTATATATATATGAATGTGTGTGAGCCAAACTGTCACTTATTCTAAATAAAGAACAACGAGATATCAAAGGACACAATCTCCTCTCAAAACTTCCATTCATTCTCTTGAAAACTCTTCACTCGGGCGACCCGGTGTGATTATACGGAGGTTTAACGAGCTTAGTTCTTTCTCGGGACTTCGAGTCTAGTTCGGAAATCATCCTCCATGAGAGGAAGTCCGTCCTTCAACTTGATCTTTGGCTCCCATCCAAGCAACTCCTTTGCTTTCGTGATGTCGGGCTTCCTTTGGCGAGGATCATCGGGCGTGTTCTCCACCATGATGATCTCAACACCAGGATTGATCAGCTGCACCGTTGAGATCTCTCAGTCTCTATTGTAATTGAAGAACATCTTTTAGTAGCTAAATTTACCTCTTTTACTGTCTCCGCCAGTTCGAGCATCGTGAATTCACCTGAATCGCAGATAAAAAGAAGTTTAGGGTAGATCGAGAGGGAGACGCTTATCTAGGAGAAAAGCAAATGAAAGACCTGGGTTTCCAATGTTGATCGGTCCAGTGTTATCGCCTTCCATTAGCCGAATGAGGCCATCGACCTTGATTCACGAGTTAAAAAGCTGATAATTGGTATGGATGTATGAATCTATATGCAAATGAACCCGAAGCGAGATTTCCTTACCATGTCAGAGACATAACAGAAACTTCGTGTTTGTGTTCCGGGTGCTTGAACTGTCAAAGGCTCGCCACTGCACATTGCATGAAGAATCTTACAAGTATTGAAGATGAACGATGACACTACTTGGGCGAGAAGATTGTATGGAGACTAGACTTACCGGATTGCTTGAGCAATGAAGTTGCTGACGACACGACCATCGTCAATATTCATTCGGGGTCCATAGGTGTTAAAAATCCTTGCAATCCTGATCTCTGCCGTAGTAAATGTTCATTTAGAGAAAAGAGCAATGGCACAGAGAAAATGGAGTCCTTAATATGTGGGATCTGATAAACTCACCGATCCCATGTTGCCTGTGGTAATCAAACATCAGAGTTTCAGCCACTCGCTTGCCCTCATCATAGCAACTTCTCACACCTGCAAAAGTTTAACAAAACATAATATTCAATGATGCAGCGAACTGAGCCATTAACCGCTCAAGCCCACCGCTAACAGATATTGTCCGCTTTGGCCCGTTACGTATCGTCGTCAGCCTCACGGTTTTAAAACGCGTTTGTTAGGGAGAGGTTTCCACACCCTTATAAGAAATGCTTCGTTCCTCTCTCCAACCGATGTGGGATCTCATAATCCACCCCTTGGAGGCCAGCGTCCTTGCTGGCTCACCGCTCGGTGTCTGGCTTTGATACCATTTGTAACAGCTCAAGCCCACCGCTAACAGATATTGTCCGCTTTGGCCCGTTACGTATCGTCGTCAGCCTCACGGTTTTAAAACGCGTTTGTTAGGGAGAGGTTTCCACACCCTTATAAGAAATGCTTTGTTCCTCTCTCCAACCGATGTGGGATCTCATAATCCACCCCTTGGAGGCCAGCGTCCTTGCTGGCTCACCGCTCAGTGTCTGGCTTTGATACCATTTGTAACAGCTCAAGCCCACCGCTAACAGATATTGTCCGCTTTGGCCCGTTACATATCGCCATCAACCTCACGGTTTTAAAACATGTCTAATAAGGAGAGACTTCCACATCCTTATAAGGAATGTTTCGTTTCTCTCTCCAACCGACGTGAGATCTCACACACATGACGTGAGATCTCACACACATGAAACTGTTATTTGAATTCACATCATTCAAAATTACTGAACCAAACAAGATATTACATCTTTGAACTACCTATTGGATTGACATTTCCCCAGTAGCTTTCATCTTGAGGGTGAATGAGAGGATCACCGTATACCTCGGATGTCGACGTTAGCAAAATCCTATTCAACAAGGTCAATAAACAACAGAGCAGAAAAATATTTATGAACTGAGAGGTAGAATGGTGAGCTTGAAAACCTTGCTCCAACGCGCTTGGCAAGTCCCAACATGTTCAGTGTGCCAATTACATTCGTCTTAATAGTCTGTCAACACACCAATCAGAAGTTCAAATCATTTCAAATATGATGATAGATAGTATTTGACCGAAAACGATACGAACCTTTACAGGGTTGTACTTGTAGAAAATTGGAGACGCAGGGCAAGCAAGATGGTATATTTGGTCAACCTCAATCAACAATGGCTCAGTAACATCTGGGTTAGAAAAATTGAGGGATAGTGTCGATCAAGGAAGCAACAATATGAAGTTCACGAGCCTTCCAAGTAACATTAACACGAAAAAAAATAGAGAAAAAGAAGAATACCGTGTCGGATAAGCTCAAATCTAGGGTGGCCAATCCATTTTTTCAAGTTAACCTTCGATCCCGTGAAGTAGTTATCAGCAACAATAACCTAAAAGGCATAGAAACAGAATGTCAAAGCAACCAACACAATGCGTGTAATGCAGGGATTATAATCTCTTCTACACGTAATGAATTACACGAGGGTTCGATCAATAATCGAAAAAGTACAAAGAGTGCAGCTAAAGTACTGAAGAAGCTACCTCATTCTTCTCATTTTCCATCAATTTGTCCACCAGGTGTGAGCCAATAAACCCCGCTCCTCCAGTTACCAAAATTCTCATATTTGCCTGATGTCAAGCAAGACCACAATATTGGTTAAGGAATCGAACCAGGCTGAGACCACAATATTGGTTAAGGAAACGAACCAGGCTGAGTACGAGATTAAGGAAAAGAAAATAGCAATGAAAGCCTTCGAGTAACATTCAAGTTTATATTCGTAACAGCCCAAGCCCACCACTAGTAGATATTGTCCTCTTTAGGCTTTAGAGGACGCGTTGAGGGAAACCCCAAAAGGGAAAACCCAAAGAGGACAATATCGACTAGCGGTGGGCTTGAACTATTACAATTTTGATCCAAAATCTCCATTTTGGATTGAAACATCGTTTTCTTAACAGTCAAAGATGTCCTAAACCCCATCATGCTCATAAGCATTTTCGATCGATCCCCATTTTCGTAAGAACAATCATTGACATCACAATTATGAACCAAATGCAAAGTAAAGACCAACAGTTCTAAACATGAACAGGCTCCTCCCATTGTTGTTTTCTCAGATTCCAACCATGAACAAGAATCTGAAAATACCTGAAAAAATTTGGCACTTCTTAAAGGAGATGGAGTCGGTGGTGGCTTTGTGGAAGTTTGGGAACTTCCATTGGAACCCTCTTTAGCCATTACTCTCGGATCTTCACTTCAAACCCTGGATCATCAAGGTCATCAGAGATAGCTATTGAACTCCAAAAAAAATGCTTGAAAATTCTCATTAGAGACTCGGATTTGATGCAAATGAAGAGTTCATCGCTTAGGAAACGCAATAAAACAAAATCAAAGCAAAAACAACATAAAAAAGAATCGAACCCTTCAAAGCAATGCACCAAAATCTAAGTAGCTACCATCTATAGATATGAAGAACAAAACTACGAACATAAGAATCATTAGACCAAGCTGCAACGACTTGAAGAGCAAGAAAGTGAAGCAAAAAACTTCAAAAACACGAAAACTGGTAAGCTTTTCTGCAACGAAAGCGAGCACTCACCCATCCACCAAACAATTCCAGATCTAAATCTCACAGATGAGGGTTTTAAACAAGATTGATGAATGATTTAAACCTGCAATCAACTAAAGAAACACGATGTTACGAGATTTTTACCTTCGATTAGCCAAATCAAACTCTGAGGGCTTAAAATTTCCTTCCGTTTCGCCTTGGATTCGAAGGGTTTTAGCGCAAATTTATATAGAAACAGATATGGATTCACGATCCTATGATCGAAAATTGAGAACTGAGTTCAATTTGAATGAGTGTTACGTATCGAGATTAGCTTTTGTTTTTAGATTAATCATTTTTTTTTTATATATATAAAAATTAATTTCATTTCTTCTTTCTTTTTTTCGCCCGAAGAGCCACCTGTCTCCAAAAACAATTTATAATACAATTTGGCGCAGATTGTCAATACGTATTTAAAATATTAATTGTTTCTACTTAATTGTGCTAAATTGCAGTAAATACCCTTCAACTTTATGTTTATTCCAGAAAATGCCCATAATTTTTCTAAAATTTTAATAATATCCTTATCAATTTTTTAAAATTTCATCGTATCTAATAAGTTATTTAATTTAAAAGATTTAATATAATGTATTATATACATTTTAAATTTTATGGACCCACCAAAAATTTAAAACGAAAAAATTTATAGAGTAACCTTAAAATTACAAGTGTAATTATTTCGATAAAATTAGTATTTTTAATTATAGTAAGGTAGAAATGTGTATAGATCACGTGTCAAATGCGGACTGAATTTTTACATTATAAAAAGAAATTATGGCTGAATTTTGGTAGCTTAGCTGCCTAGTCACCGGCTGAGGACTACACGTGGGTCACATGCAAATTCCAGCTCAGCAATAGTAAATGGCAGGGGCAGGGGTTCTTAGTGTTTGCTGTTTTTTTCTCTTCAATTTAGTTCCAATCATTAGGGTTTGTATTTTGTTTTTTTTTTTTAAAAACCAGAATTTTGGATTGGGCTAAAATTTTAGAAAATTGTATTAAAATATAGATTTAAATATAGGAAAAATTAGAAAAAGGAAAAATTAATGAAATATTATTGGGCTGAATGAATTACTGAAGCCCAATAATACCAAAATTAATGGGCTAGGGCCCAAACGTCTGTTTGAGAAGGCTGCATCAAGTAGAAACGAGGTTCTTTTCCGTAGTCTACTGCATCTCGAAGAATTTCGTCGTCGGATCTTCTTTTTGACTTCGTGTTTCTCTCTCGACTGATTAGATCGGAAGGTAAAGTCGTCTTCCTTTTTTTTTTTTTTTTTT